TAGACAAGGTTCAAAGAATGGGGCATTTCTATACATAGCAGCAATATCCTAAATAATAGTAGCTAATGCTAAGATAAACAGTAGGAGAGAAAATAGAAAACATGCAGGACAACTTATGCAGCTGTAATTCTCTGGAATTAGGAGGCTTCTTGGGGGAGGCATCTTATCTCATGTTTAGGGGAGGAACTGCTTTGTTCTTTCTATAGAAATACCTGATTCTGGCCATTTTTGGAAAAAGGCTTATAAATTTGCCAGTCTACAGATTGGGAATTCTTTACTTTCCTTTTGTTGTGAGTCTAAGGCACACAAAAAAAACTTCAAAAGAAATTCCAGCTGTGAAGGAGAGAAAGTGTAACATGTAGATACAATGAATATGGAACTCACTATAAAGAATGAGATAAATAAAAGATGTATTTCTAAGGCCATATCTACAGAGGACTGTGAAGTGTAATGCAGCAGCTTCCAAGCTGGCCATTAGAGAGCTAGCACACCACTCAGTACGCTATAACGACTTGGGAGATACCAGCTCAGGTACTGAAAACAGAGCAGTCACAACAATATGAACCTTCATCTGAGCCAGTAAGCCCTGCTCCATAGACAAGCTAATTAGAAAATATTAGAAAATTATTAGAAATTATTAGAAAATACCTATTATCACCATGGGCAAAAGGCAGACTCATTGGGAGAAGAAAAGGAATAACAGTTTATCACCACCAACAACACTTAATTTAATAATCAGAGTAGGACAGTGAGAAGTATAACCACATCTTAAAAGCACATTCCCCGATCCTTCCCTTCCCAGGCTCAGCTTTGCTCCCAATTTCTCCACCTCCTCCCCACCCAGCAGTGCAGGGGGTCAGGGGATAGGGGTTGTGGTCAGTTCATCACATGTCTCTGCAGCTCCTTCCTCCTCAGGGGGAGGACTCCTCACACTCTTCCCCTGCTCCAGCATGGGGTCTCTCTCACAGGAGACAATCTTCCATGAACTTTGTCTGATGTGTCTTTCCCATGGGCTGCAGTTCCTCCCAAACTGCACCAGCATGGTCCCCTCCCACACACTGCAATCCTTCCAGCAACAAACTACACCAATGGGGGCTTTCCACAGAGTCCTGCCTTCTTCAGGAACAGACACCTGCTCCAGCATGGGGCCCCCCATAGGCTGCAGGTGGGCATCTGCTCCACCATGGACGGGGTGTGTGTGTGTGTGTGTCTGCGCTGGTCCATCTACCCCCCTCTTCCTCTTTTCTCCACTGACTTCAGTGTTTGCATAGGTGTCTCCCTCACAACTCTCCTCCTCCCAGGGTCTCCTTCTTAAATATGCTATCACAGAGGTGCAGGCACCATCACTAATTGGCTTTGTGTTGGCCAGAAGTGGGGTTGACTAGGAGACGGATGAGCTTCAAGAAGCTTCTCTAACACACACACACACACCCACACACCCCCTCATTCCCACACCTCCCAACCACACACACAAACCCAACAGACTGCTCCAGCACATATGACAAATGAAACTACTTGACTCTAATTCAAATCTGCAACTCACTGGGCATTAAGGAGAAGGTGTTATCCAGCTTAGTTAATGGAAGTTTATTATTAATGTTTCATTTTAAATGAACTTCTTGTTGTTGTTACTATTATTATTTGAATTCTCATCCCAGCTGAGTGTGTGTGTGGTCACCATGAAGTTAAGCCATTTAAACAAACAATGTTCTTCTGTAAGCATCACTGCTCCTTTAAGTTACAATAGGCACAAAATACACCACTTGAAGAAGGAGAAATCCAGAGAAAAGAAGTATCCTATAGGAGAATGCTTCATGGGATCCTAAGAGGTGTGGGTTCCAATGCTCTGTCCCCCAAAAAATCTGCATTCATTTTCCTGTTTGTATTTTCTACAGTTCTCTAAATGTATCTGAGCTACCTACAGAAATAGCTTGCTTAAAAAGTGTTAAGGAGCTCCTATGTTAACAATTCTGGGTTTGGATTTATGGGCTGCAAAACCAGCAGTCCTCAGCACTTTGTCTGGAGTCACTGGAGTTTTTCACATAATGATTCCAAGGATCCAGCTGCCCTGAGCAAAATTTGCATTTGAAATACCTCTTGGTCTTTCCCCAGTTAATTAAAATAAAAAGAAATGCATGGCTTGCCTGACACCTGCCTTCCTATGTCCACGCACTGTCTCTGTGTATAATGCAGGTGAAGTGGGCAGGTTTCCAGTAATTGAGGCTCTCTGCAGGAAAATTCCACTGACGCTTTTGCAATAACACAACTATTTACTTAGAGCCTGTACTGGAAGGACCTATTCATAGTCTCGAGTGCCTCAGGTTACTGTGTTCTTCAGTGTATGTTAGAGCTTCTCTGACACTTTTAAAGGATATGATGAAATCTTCATTTCTAGCCACTGTCTCCAGCTAATGGGTACATGCGATGCACAGAAGCAGCCTTCTCCAGCTTGCTGCAGGGAGTCATCTTCCAAGGACCGCAGCACTAGAAACAACAGATGTGACCTCGAAGGACATCACACCAGATGTGCATCTGACTCTTGGCTTGCATTTGCCTGAACAGCTGCAAACACACCCACGAGTAACAGCCGGATGTGCGAGGGTGTGCGGACAGGCGGACCCCACGGCCGGCGGCGGGCCGGCCGCTCTCCAGGGTGCTGCAGGCGGCAGCTCCGCCTTCCTCCCGCGGCTCCCGCTGCTCTGCCCCTTGCAGGATTTTCCTATTTTCTCCCGATGAGAGACACTTCGGGCTGCAAACTCCAGAGTTTCAGGTCAAGGAGGTTCCGTGATTCTATGGTCAACGTCAAGTAAAACTTTTATCTGGTAAATAACCCACTCCACACACAATTTAGAAAGGATTTCATTTAACTCTTGGTCTTTTGAAAGCCTTGTGCCACAGCTATGAAACGTATCCTGTTATAAACACAATCATACGACTGCTTGCCCCCCTGTTAATGTTTTTTAGGTCCCATATCACATAAATTGAGCCCGTATTGTTTTCTTTCTCCTGAAAGTCACTTTTCTGTCTGTACTCAGAAATAGATCTGACAGCCTGGAACACGCACTATTCCTTCATTTTCAGTAGCTGTCTTTCCAAGCCTGGACCGGCGACGCTGGTTCTCAGTAAATATATTTTTTTCAGATTGTTCTGAAACTGTGTTTTCAGATCTGCCCACCTATATACTTACTCACTTGGGACACTACAACATTTGCAAAGAGCAATTATTTAAAAAAAAAAAAAAAAAAAAAAAAAAAAAAAATAGGGCTCTACTGATAGGCAAACTACTTGCATGCTTACATTAAAAAGTGCCTCCTCAGCTTTGCTGTGCCTGGCGGGATGCTTTTCCAGATACTGTGTTTATTCTTAATAAAACAGTAGGTTTGATTTTACAGTTCGCCACCTAGCTGCTCTGCAAGATAGGGGATCAGTTTGGCTTTGAAATTAGACTCTGAGCCCCGTCTAAACCTGCTGGGAATTTCCATTTCATCAGTGCTGTCTGTTTTGAATAATTCCTTGTATGTCGGCCTTTGAAAACAAAGGAGCCACGAAAACACTGTCGTCGTGCAGGGGAAACGTGAAAGAAAAGCTTGGTGATTTTCTGTTAGTAAGTCAATCCTTGATGTTGCTGGCGGTGAAAGCAACACACTTCCTTGCTAGCTGTGATGGAGGACTTAAAGGTTTCAACTGGGAAGAAACGGAGATGCTCTAAACTCCCTAGTGCTAGCGAGATCCAAGCTGCGATGTGTCAATGTTTCGGTGCCTTCCCCTGGCAGATCTAACTGTGCTTTATAACGCTCCTATGGGCTCACTGCTCTGGACACAGCTAAGTGATTACGTGTCCTTTTCTGTTAAAGGTTTGACCATCAGCTTATTTAACTCATTTAATTTCCGCCTGTAAGTGCCTATTAGCGATGTATTTGCATGGAGTCTGGCTCGCCGTTGCCTCGGTTTGGATTTCTTCCTTCCTTTCGTCTTGCTCCCTGAGGTCCGCACGGTGAGGATGATTTGCTGTTCCGTTGTCCCATTCTAGCCAGCATTTTCCCGTCATCTGTCAAATGCCTGCCTCCCCCGTGCGCAGAACCATTAAAATCAGCTGTCCGTTGCAATGCTGGAGGTAAACGGGCGTGGAAGCCCCGAAGAGGGCTAAATAGCAGGAGAGCAGCGTGCCAGGGGGTGGCGAGCACACAGCCCGCAGCCGAGGTGCTGCGGGCGGGGGTCGGAACCCCGGGGCCTGTGCTGGTCCCTGCTGGGAGCGGGGTGCCCAGCTCGGCTCCCCCTCCCGCTTTGCATCTTGGTTAATGGCCTTGCGCTGTTTGGGGTCAAGAGCCTGTTTGCAGGCATCTCTTCTTCCACAGAGAGATTAGGGGCTTCTCTCTGCTCTTCTCAGTCCCGTTGGCCTAAAAGTGGTGCTAAAGACGCCAAGGGAAGAGGTGCTCCGAATAAACGTGGCTCTCTCTCTCTTCCCCGGGAGGGGTCCGGACCTCGGAAAGGAAATCACGCGTTCCGGTCTACAGAGCTCTCCATCTCCTGGGCTTGCTCTCTCAGTCCCTCGAGAAAGCCGTCTGCTGGCCGGCAAGCCGGTCGCCTGATCCGTGGCAAACGAGCTGAGATGTAGCCGAGCCATCGGGACCCCGTCCGCCGGGATCCTTACCTCTAAGGGCGCACCTTCCCTTCTTCCCTCCTGCTGGGAAATGTGGCAAGTCGAAAATAACAAGCGATAAGGAGCGGGGCTGCTCTCCTTACCCATCCTTACCCGTCTGGGGATAGAAAGGGGGTAGCGGGAGGGAAGATCTCGTCTGTCCTGGTTCTGGGTAGATATTAAGTGCCTCTGGGAGTGCGAGAGAAGACAGTTTAGCCTGAGGTCTTCCGTTTTGTCATACCCCGCCTCTAATCCCAACTCTGTTGCAAGAGGGTGAAGCAAGCGTGAAGGGGCGCTGATTGGGG